CAAATCCTTTTAAAGTCATATGACTCATATCCCTTTTATTAATTTATAACCTTTCCACCCTTCGTCCAATTTTTTCCTTTTGTTTTTAGTCTTTTTATTCATCGCTGTTCTCGAAGAGCAAGTTTAGAACGTTCCTATACAAACATATTATTTCCCTCGCAATATTTTGCAAGACTTTATCAACCTCATTCATGATCATCAATCATTCAATTGCATTGCTTTCAACCCCATAGTGTCAGCCTCTTAGTGCGTCTCTCAAAAAATATATTCCTTGCGTCTGTTTGCATTTTTATTTTTAATATAAATTATACTAAAAATAAAATTCAAACAAGATAATTATTTTTGTACAAGGGAATATATACTATATATTATCAGTTTTTCGTTATTTGGTCCTTTTTCTTTTTTATTTATCAGTTTTGTGTTCTATATGATCATAGGATGTTGAGAAAGAATTCAAAAGGCCATGCAAGGACCCCTAGATTTTGCAGGGTTTACAAAAGTCATGATAACTGCATTATTCGCTACACGAAATATGGTGGAAAAGTTTGTCTAGTAGACATGACTCTTCTGGTATCGGTATTTTCCGCTACATGAAATCGTGGCCACAATGGACTAAAAGGATCAATGTAAAACTTCACTCACCACTTTTGGCTTATCCCAGAAGGAGGAGGTTGAAGAAGCATTCGATGTGAGTGCTCTTAGTAGCAAGGCCATCGAATAAGTCAGGTTCAATCTTTAGAAAAAATTTACTCTCTCTATCCTAAAATTATTATCCACTTTGAGCTTTTACTTCTAAATCAATTTGTATTAACAATGAAAATTCAAACTGGACAATAATTTCGAGTGTGAAAAGAATACTAAAAAGAATACTGATTATATATTACTAGTACTCCTCCATATGAAGGACGAAAAATAAACGAGGAAATAGTTTTTGTTTTCTTTTCCTCTTTTATAAATGTCATTAAGCTAAACAACAGCAAGTTTGTACTTCTACATTTTTCTTTCTGATTTCGTTTTTTGAAATGTAGCAAGGTCCAAATTCTTTTAGTTAGAGATTTGGCTGAATTTGGCTGAATTTGGCTGAATTTGGCTGAATTTTGGGTTCAGTATATATTAAACTAGATGTTAAACCCGCGCGATGCGCGGGTTTTATTTATATACATTATAAAAAATTAAAAATTAATATAAAAAGTGTAAAATGTATTTGTAGTCCATATCAAGATACATTACACAACTAAAATTAAATAAAGGCGTAATTGTAAAGATAAAATAATGCATATCATTTGAAATGCAAGTATTCATTTGATTTTATTGAAGGAGAAGAACTGGACAATAACACTCATAAGTAGAGTAAAATAAATAAAATTGTATTAATGTTACATATTGAATGAAAAAATAAAATAATTATACACGTAAAATACATAATGAAGTAATTATCAATAATAGATGGTAGATTATGTGTGACTGAACTATGAAGTTTAAAATTTTTATAGTTATTTTGTTGTAATTAAAGATTTTATAATATTGTTTGGCCCAATACTTGATATTTTGGAGGAACAAACCAACTGTAGAGTTAAAATTTTTGCCCTTTAATCCCTTTTTGCTATGACAATAAAAAATAATAATTAATGAAATTATGAAATTATGGGTAAAAAAAGTATAAATTTAGTAACGCCTAAAAAAGAACCCTAAAACATCATTTTGCAGAAGAACATATGGAAATAAAAAATCATATATAATCTTAATTAACCATTACCTCCCATGCCACATGATCGACCTACTATTATTTCATCGCTTTCAGAATAACAAACCAACTGTTGGGCTAAAGTTTTTGCCCTTTCATCTTTGGATTTCGGGTTGTTTTGTGGAGGGGGAAATTTTTGCAGCACTAGAACATACTCATGGTTTGTGTGACATGTATAAATAGAGATAAATTGGGATTGATGATAACTGATTATCCAAAATTTCAATGACAAAGATAAAGTTTATAACAATTATTGAGATATTATTAAGGAAAGATTATATTTATTTGGGTAGATATGATATTACACAAATAAATACATTGGTTTGAAATTCGAAAGATAACATTTAATTATAATTAAATCCCATCCTTTTAGTAATAATTGAAGGCAAGTTTTGTACCTTTTTTTTCTTTTTTATTGGCGAAAAATACATGGTCATGTTTTTGGGAGAAGATTTTAAAGATAACATTAATGTTGAATGATTGATATTTTTTTTTTGAATTATAGTCTATTGATTTACATTATTGGGAAGGAGATTTTTTTTTTAGAGAGATTAATTAAATGAGTCCAGTAGTAATTTTGGGGATTCTTTTGGGGAGGGAATAATTCTGGTGCATTAATGTTCATTAATCCCGTCCATTAAATTTAATTAATTTTTATTTTTCTATTTTAAACTATAATTTTAAATGCCATTCGATAAAACTTTATTTACATAAAATTTGAAGGACTATTAGTATAATTGTTGTTAATATTATTTACTCAACCATTAGAAAAATGACACATAGGATTTTATCCTATATGCCGTCTTTAGAATTCTTTTTTGTTTTCTCTCTCTGGTTTCTCTCTTAGTATAATATACTATAAATTGGAAATTATTGTGAGTTAAAGAATCAGAATGATAGGTGACAAAGTTTTTCTTATGACTTGACAAATTAATTAAAATAAATTTGGGTTGCATAACACATAAAGGTTGCTGTAAAGTAGAAGAAGGTATATCAAGCATAATACGTACTGTAACCAAACAACTAGTATAAACCTAGCTAGACCTAATACGTACAGATCCTTTTAAACCAAAATCAGAGATGGGAAGACATTGAATTTAACAACGTTGTATACCTTTTCTAATGTATAGCGTCCAGTGTATTTGATTTTTTTTTCGGGAAGGAATCATTGTGAAGTACACATTTGCATAGTAATTTGCCCTTGCTACCAATATAAGATCTGCTACCATAAATTAATGTTATAAAGAACTATAATATCAAATAATCGTGACAGGTTCACAAAGTGTGGTAGCAATGCTCTGAGGTTCCAATATGGCCAATTTCTTTTGTTCCTACATATATGTAACATTGATTTGGAATTGTTATTTAACTTACTACTAGTAGTTTTCTCACCCGCCCATACAGATGATATTCAACAAAATTTTCAATGAATTTCACTTGTAAATTTTCTTCGTGGAGAAGAAGATGTTGTAACAAAAGCCTAAATTTTCTAGAGATATCATGCGGGAAAAGAAGGAAGTTTGTCCATTTTGATTTGAAACGAATGATTGGAGTTGGGACCAATCTTCACAACTGTTCCACATACTTGTTCACTACGAAGGAACAACATACTTCATATTTAATTTTTTTCATATATATTAGGATCAACAAAACTTTGAACACTTGTCTACTGCAGTTTGCAGCTTCATGACCAACAAACATGTATATTCTTTTCCTATTATTTTAAATGGTTCATTTTTTTCGGAGAGTTTAATAATTTCATTTATTTTATTTGAAAATTAGTCAGCCCTGATCGGACCAAGACATACATAGAACTAGTCAGATTCCCTTTTTAGCAAACTCTGATTTTTAGATTATATGAGCTATAAAATCTCTCAAAATTCAATAAATTAATGCTCTCTCAGGTCCTTATTATAGGGTATATTGAGTATACTGTTCTCTTCGGTCCTTATTATAAGACATTTTCGAAACTTAGAACAAAGAAAAATATCATATAATGAGAACCGGAGGAAGTATTATTAAACGACTTAGGACTTGCATGAAAACACTTCCTTATTTATCCAGATCAAGAATATCTGGAAAATAACTGCAAGTTTCCCACATGTCCAGCATCGAATTTCACGTAGAAAGAACCAAAGTTGAGAAATGCGGACGAAAATGGTCGACTTTTTGGGATGGTGGGGACAAAATTTATAAATGTTTCAAAAAATAGGGACTTTTTTTTATCAAATGGGAAAAGATAAAGGACAAAATAGGCCAATTTGTATTGTTTCCGAACAAATTTCTTCCTCTTCAAAAGCTACTAAACGATTTTGAGCTTAAAACACTCTTTCGTCGTATTTCTTTCTCAATCAATTTACGAGTGCTATTCCGGCAGGCAAGTTCATTTGTTCCACTTCGTATATTTGATGTTTACTTTCTTCCGATTCTCTCTTTTAGGGTTTCAGCGAAATGGGTTTTGGCTGTAGGTTTGTTTTTTGGGGTCCCATCCCGTTTTAGTTTATGGGTAGAGCCGATTGGGGGTGGTATTTGACTAGGCGACTGTTGTGGTTGATTTTGAATTGTGTTAATTCAGTAAAAATCGAAAAAATTGGAATTTGAATCAGTAGGTTTGCTGCTATTATTTGATTGTTTGCTAATTGTTTTGAAATCAGAAAACCTGGGAAAGAAAAGGGAGCTTTGATGTATTGTTTATAGACTATGCTGTTCTTTTCTGCTTTGAAACTTAAGGATTATTGTGTTTTTTTTTCGGAACACAACTTTAGGAATTTCTACTGTGTTTGTTGTTTTTCTGAAGGGTTGCTTTTGTTAGCCAAATGTGGCTAGATAAAGTGGCCAACTGTTTTGATCTCCTGCTTGCTGTGACACTCTGTCATCTTAAAATAATTTTTCTTTCAATTTTCAGCTGGATAATTCTCAAAAGTTCACCACTTCTTGATCCCTTCTTTTCTGTTTTTTGTGATTTTTTTTTTTCCTTTGAAGAGATGGGATTGCACTGATCACTTTTGTTGATGTCGTTTGTTCCCTAATCTCGAATCTTATGCTATTTTGACTTGCACAAAATCCTGTTTTCTTTTTTTCCCTTTTTTGGTTGATTTTCTGACAGAAAAACTTATGCAGGCTATTTCTGACTTGACTTATATGCAATCCTAAGAAAGGGTGCCTAGATACAAACTTGGATGAGCTACAGGAGTGGGAATTCTATAAATTCTGAAAACAGAGTTCAATAGTTTAAGGTTATAGGACGGAGCACCCAATGGCTTCTGACCAAGAAATCGATGAAGCGGGCAATCCACCTTCATCGTAAGTTCCTCTGCCCCCTAAAAGTTTCTTGCATCCCATTTTAGCTAATCAAGCTCTATCGTATATGAATTTGAATCACGCTTCTTACTTCCATGGAGACTGTTGCTCATTTAGTTGTAATTCAGGCCAAAGAATATTTACAAAGATCCAGATGATGGGCGCCAGCGCTTCCTACTTGAACTGGAATTTGTCCAATGCTTAGCTAATCCGACATACATCCACTGTAATTCCCTTCCTCCTGTGCTTTTTCACTTTTATTGTGTCTTGTCTTCACTTTATATCAGTAACTGATCCTACTTTGTAACTGATACTTTTTCTTGTAGTTGGGGAAACAGAGCCCCATTTTTGTGGACCATATTGTGTAGCGTTTAAATTGGGAAAAAGAATAGTCATTAGTAAACTAAACTGCCACTGAAAGTGCATTAGAACTGTTGGTTGCATTCAAACAAGCGGGACAGTGGCAATGCAAGTTTGCAGTGAGATTTATTCTTTGGAAAATGCTTGATGACGAATTGATAACGTTTAAAAGTCTTTAGGCTGAATCATATAATACGTGCAATTTAAATTTTGAATCATGTAAACTTTAAATGGGAATTCGGAAGGTTATTCAAGTGTTCGGAAATGTGATCATATGCATTAGTTGAATTCTATACGACTCAAGGTGATTATTTTCTAAAACATCAAAAGTAATTTGGACCATTTGTTATGTGGTTAACAATATGCTGAATGATACAAAATATGAAAGTGTCAGGGGCTTGGGTTCTCCTTTTACATGATCTATTGTGGATTTGTTACCCAAGGAATTGGTTGATATGCTTGATTTTATGAGTTCTCTTAGGTTATTATCTATTTTTCCAGGTGAGTATGTTTTAATATGTCCCTTTTGAATATCTAATTTAGACTTGGCTCAGAATCGATACTTTGAGGATGAAGCTTTCATTGGATATTTGAAATATCTCCAGTACTGGCAACAGCCTGAATATGTCAAGTTTATAATGTGAGTGAAGAAGATTGTTAATCCATTTACTTAATGTTTATATGTCATATGTCCTTATTTCTTTGATTGACTTCAGGTATCCACAATGCCTATACTTTCTGGAGCTTCTTCAGAATGCAAACTTCAGGACTGCAATGGCTCATCCTGCCAACAAAGTATGAACTGCTGACACATTTACTTGGTTAATCTGTAAAAGTAGCCAGTGATAGACAATTTTTATGGTGAAAATTTATGTGCTGATTTAAAGGCGTATGTGGCTTTGTGATACTTGTAAGAAGTTTAGGACTTTAATGTTGTTTATAAACAACACGCATCCTTTCTGTCCGATGGAAACTAGTATTATATTCTTGGGCTCAAACTCATTGAACATTTTTTTTTTGCCCCTCCTAAGTTTGCTTGAGGTTTATAACTGAGCTCGTAAAGTGCAAAAACTTAAAGTGGATTGTTTTTTGTTTCTTAAAACTCTATTTGTTTGCAATCTTTGTTTGTCTACATCTGGAATTGTGTATAAGATATCAAGAACTTTAGGTAGCTCAAAGTATGTATTGAATGAAGAAGAGGATTTATCCAAAATGGAAGATAAATCTATTTCCTTTTACTTGTATTTTTGTTGAATGTGTTTGAGATTTGAATCTTGGTATGGAAATGGATCATGTTTTAATGTTTTACCTGGAAATTGTAGGAATTGGCACATAGGCAGCAATTCTATTTCTGGAAGAACTACCGAAACAACCGACTGAAGCATATCTTACCCAGGCCTCTTCCTGAACCGAGTGTTGCACCCCCATCTTCGGCTGTGGGTCCACCTTCACTTGTTCCTCCTGCACCTTTATCTGCTCCTTCTCCAGGTTCGGGACCTGTCCCGTCTCCAGCGAGTTCAGCACTCTCGCCAATGCAATATGGGATCCAATCTGTATCGAATCTCCCAAAGAATGATCCAAGGAATAGCGGGATAAGAAAGAGAAAGTAAAGCATTTCAGTTTTCAGGGCATTATCACAAGTTAGAAAGATAATTGCTTCTTTATGATCTTCACATAATTCTGGACTTAAAATTGACTGAATATCTAGTAATTTAAGCAGATCTATTAACCTCCTCCATTATTCAAGCTTCTTGAGTGGCTTGTCATAGAAAGTTTAAGGCCTTCTACGCTGAAGTCTGTTACTGAGTTTTTTCTTCTGCATAATCTCTGAGAATGGTTACAGGTGAACCAGGCTACCTGCAATATGCTTAAGTTCCATGATTAGTGAGTTTTAGTACTCTGTTCTCGTTGGTATTCGGGTAAGAGATATTGGAGTCAATTAGTTTTTACCTGATATACTTTTTGTCGACAAAGAATCTGCTTCTGTGCTAATTATGAGATGTATATTTGTCTTTTGCCTGATTATGCTCAATTGATTTTGCTTCTTGGGATAGATTAGCTATGTGCAGGCTTTGTCATATTTTCTCAATGGAACCAGAAATTTCTTGGGATGAAGCATTTGTTGTATTTTCTTGTACCTCCAATCGTTGTTTCCAGGTGTTTGATTCTGAGAATACATTCCTATAACTTGATGCATTTCACTGTAAGCTTATATAGTAGATGAAATGCTGTATGTATTCTGAAAGACCGCCGGTAAAATCTAGCATATTTTGGCTGCTTTTTGGGCTTGGGCGACACCATTAAATGAAGGCTGACAGAATAGGAGTTGTTGATGACTCTGTAATGCATGTTAATGGTTCTTGGAAGACGTAAATTTGATTATATGAATTTTACCTTTCAAACCTGAACACTATTTTGGGCAATTTTGAGGACAATATCTAGACTTTGCTGAAGGGTGTCCTTAAAAGCAAATGAATCTTGACTTTGATGTCTTAGAACTGTCAATTCCTTCACTGTTTGAGCGTGTTTTTCGTGTATTTTACTTAGGCATGTGATCTTTATTTGTTGGTGCTTCTTATTCTTGCAACTTGATACAAGAATTGTCCCAGTTCTGCTGCGCATAGTATTTCCAGTGATCTTGGGTAATCTATTTTAGTGTCTCCAGCAAGATGCACCACTTAAGGTTGTCCGGAACTTTCATGAACAAATTTGAATAGCAGGAAGTCAATATCCGGGAAGATATGACTTTGTTGATTGATACAATTGAAAAAGAATGTTATTCACGGAGTGACAAGAAAACTCAGATCAAACGATTCAGACATCAATCATACTGTATGTTTTAATCAGTACTGCTTCTCTTTCAAACAAGCAAGCATAGATTAATTCTTCAGCAGTTGATTAGTTCTGGCATCTGGCTTTTGTCCTACTCTTTTGCTTTGACTTGTATAATTGACAATTGTGGAGATAGCAAGGTTATTGAGCTTATAGGCTCTTTGTTGGTACCATAAAGCATTGTTCAAGACTTTCTTGAATATAACAGTCTTGAAGAGGATGCATACATAAGAATTATTACTCCCTCTGTCCCAAAATTATTGTCCAGTTTGAAATTTCATTTTTAGTAGAATTTGAACTAGAAATGAAAACTTAAACTGGACAATAATTATGGGACGGAGGGAGTACTATTTTATGCCTCCTCTTTCTACCAGAAGCTTCCTTTTTTTCTTTTTTTTCTTTTCTTTTTTTTGGTTTTGGTTTCCTTGTATATTTTCAGCTTGGAAGTCTCAAAACCAGACCGTTTAAAATTCTGTTGCACAAGGAGAAGTCTCTGCTCGGCGGCTCTGCTAAATGAGTAATCACAAGATAACGGTTGAATTGTAGCATCGCAACCCCGTTTACGCATCAGATTAACAGCCGCCGGGAAATAGTAATGTACAGTCGTTTGGTCAGTCCCAACAAACCAGTTGGTGTAATCCTTACCATACAAAGGATACCAATTGAAGAATATCTTGTCGTCGAGTAGGAACAATCTCTGAGAATAAGTATTGGCGAACTCAAGCTAGCTCACCTGTCCAATGATTAATACTCCCCCATTTCACAAAATAATTCACATTGAGTTTTGAGTTTTGTACCGTTTTAAGTACAAATTTAAAAATTCAATATGAGCTATTTTTTTGGGACGGGAATAGTAATTTTTAGCTCATTCTGACTATTAAAACTGATTTGAATCACTAAAACTTTAAATAAAGTGTATTGTTTCAATACCAAGGACGATATATAATTTATACAACAAAATCTAAATAATGGGATAAAAACTTATTGGTGTGCTTTTTGTCTGACCGTTGGAGAGCTCTCATAGAAAGCAATAGTTACATCAAATAAATACAAACTCCGAGTTGGATATGATATGATCTTTTCTTTTTTTTCCTCTATTTTATTTTTCCATTCTTGGAGCTAATACTCCCTCCTGTCCTAATTATTAATAAGTACAAATTAACACTAAATTCAGTTTAAATTTATGGTTTATAATGAATATCAGAAGAAATATAATTTTTTCAGCGCCTTCAGATGTTTTTACCGTTGATACGGAGCGATCATTGAAGTCACTCACTCTTTGCTCCATTCAATTCGTCCTTCAATGATTTTTTAGATTCGGCATTGTGATAATACAATAGCACAAGAGTTATGTGATTTTAGTTAGGAATAGTGTCGTTGAATGTACTAATATATGAATGAAATTACTCTTTTTTTTTAAAAAAAAAATGAACACTAAATAGATAATAGTCATTTCATTATAAAACTATAGATAATAGTCATTTCATTATAAAACTTGTAATTCTTAAATACAATTATGTTATTTTCTCAAAGGTCAGGACTAATGTTTGTTTGGTAAGAATTGAGAGGGTTGGCTAGGGTCAGGCTAGTCGACAATCCGACCCGTCAAGATCTGACCCGTCCTTTAAACCCTCCTTCAACCCTTCTTGTCTCTTCTACTTCTTCTTGTGAACTAGTCCGCTGTATTTCTGTGAACTGAAAGGGAACTCTTCTTCATTTCTCTAATTCTTGATTTCGGGACGATGAATTCACTTTCAGGAAGGCTGATTAAACTATTCAGAGTTTCATCTCCTGCTACAAGACCCTCATCTTTTGCAGGTAATACTCCTCCACATTTGCGTTCCTCTCCCCGCCACACACAAATACAAGACAGCATCCGCTTATTCACTTATTAGAGTCTTAAAAACTTGATTCAGATTCTTTCGTACTTTGATCTTTGTGGGTTCGTTCTAAAATTCCATCGTGGTTGCTTTATTCCTCCCGAAAATGGAATTTAAAATTGTAATTTTTTATATACTCTCTTAGGCATTCTAACAAACACATGTTGATCGTGGTTGATAACTTGATATGTACTTTGTTTGACCCCTCTGGCCTCTTTCGTTTGGCGTTTTATTTATTTTCCTGAAATGTTCTATTTCTTGATCAAGATGCAGGGGTGGGTATGCAAAGAAGCTCGAGGTTTTATTCTTCTGGCTCATTTGATAGTGACGTCAACGAAGAAAACAATGAGCATGATCTAGAAGTTGATGATAACGACTTCGTCCCAGAAAGACCAGAGTTACAGGTCCAGGGTGTTGATCCCAGGAAGGGATGGAACTTTCGGGGTGTCCACAAGGTATTTTTATTTGCTCTTTCCAATGATAGCAGTTTGTTTTATATATAGAAATGGATAGATTTTTGCTTTTGCCTACTGGAGTGTTCAACTTTATTTCATATGATTTCACTTGGGGTTAGATTTTAGATTCTGAAGAGTTTGCCATTTGAATGCTTTGGCTTTGACTTTATAACTTCGATTATTGTTACTCTGGATAAGCCAATTGCCCTGATACTAACCTAGACCTAGCAATTGCTTGGGCTTCTATGCTTGGACCTGCCCTTTGTTACTTTAGATCAGTTTGGATGGTTTTATTAATGCCAAATGAAGTATAGTTTAGTTTAGGGGAACTAATGTTGTAGATGAAAAATGATAGAGCTGTTATGAAGGATCTAAAAAGCTTTCGGGAAGATAATTTTGACGACCAGCTGGTGTCCTGTGTGTCATCCTGTACAAGTGATACCATGATTGTTTTGGTTTTTTACTTGTTTTATCACCTCATATATGTTGATAGCCAGGATCACATCTTTAAAAGATTCATCCCTTGTTCTCATTGGGAATTATGATTAGCAATTAGTTGCAGATTCTTATTTTGGCTAAGGTGAAGACGTGCTATGGATGTCCTTGTAAAAATATGTATTGCTTGTGGCAGGCAATTATTTGTGGGAAAGTTGGACAAGCCCCAGTGCAGAAGATCTTGAGAAATGGCAAGACTGTAACAATCTTTACTGTGGGAACTGGGGGTATGTTTGATCAGAGAATTACAGACATTAAAGACTTGCCTCAGCCAGCTCAGTGGCATCGTATTGCAGTTCATAACGAGATGCTTGGGGTTTATGCAGTTCAGCAGCTTGTCAAAAAGTATGGTTTAGTGATTTCTAGTTTATTGGACTGTGAATTCTGTTATCTTCTACTAATTATGAAATTTCTTACAGCTCTTCAGTCTATGTTGAGGGGGAAATCGAAACCAGAGTTTACAATGACAGTATCAATGGTGAAGTCAAAAACATTCCAGAGATTTGTGTGCGCAGGGATGGTATGTCATAAAGTTAGATTTCTATGTCATAAAGTGCATTCATTCTTATTTTTTAGACTGCTGATCTCATTATGAATTGACAACATTCTTCTGTACTGTCAATCAACATGACCAAAATTTTCAAACCGCTGACTCATGTATTTGATCATGCTACTGCATTTCCCTTTCCAACTAAATGAGTAAAAGAGTTGACTAATTTACAGTAACAAAAATGGCAAATTGTGCTTCCCAAAAATGAATGTGATGAGATGTATTGAAAACCTGATAAAGACAGGGATTTACTGTTTAGTATTTTCATATAATCTGAAAGTTCGCTTCAATATTCAGTGGATAAATGTAAGTAGTTAGCAAATGTAAACATGTAAGATTAGTATTGTTTTACGGAAAGCATCTGACCGTGATATTGCTGTTCCCAAATTACATGCAGTTCAGCATGCGTTAGATAATTTACATTAGAGTTATCCTTTTCTTTTGATATTAGCATTTTATCTGCTCTGTTAGACTTATTTTGGCTTCAGTGGACTTCGTTAAGGTTTGCTTCTTAGTGCAAGTGTTATGGGCATACATTTTCTTGTATCTCATCGTTCCTGCTTGAATTATTTAGGTGTACAAGTAGAGCCTATATTAAGCCGCAACTTTGAACAAAAGAAGTTAGTGAGTGATATGTGAAGAGGTCGTGATTTGGCTGTTATTTTGTTTGCTCTTTCAGGAAGGATTCGGCTAATAAAAACAGGAGAGACTATCAGCAATATTTCTTTTGACGAGCTGAGTAAGTTTGATTTCGGAAACTTTCAAGAAAATTTCAATTCATTGTAGAGACCGTTGCAAACTTTATGGTTGCCTTATTCTCTCATTGTTTTGGTGGCAGGGGAAGGGTTGCTGTAGGTGACTTTTGTTGGTAGTCTGTAACATAAGTGGTTTAGGAGAATGGTGGAAGGTGAAGAATCTTGCAAGAAGCTATAGTTGTGTTTTGAATAATCTGCAACCTTAGCCATTGCGAGGGATCCGAAATTGTTCATCTTATTATTTAGAATTTCGCAATAGATTTAAGCATCAGGATTCAAGGAGATGTAGGAGGGAAATGAGACTTTTATCTTATTTGGATCTAAGATTTAGCACTCATGAGTAAATTCTAAAATTTGCGTGTACGTTTTATTTAGTTACTTAAAATTTCGAAATTAAAAAAAAAAAAGGGTTTTCAGCCTTCTATGTAAAGTGAATCTTCTAAATTAAAAGAAAAATATATTAGAACAAAATATTTCATTCAAGATCATAATTCAGAAAATTATAATCTCTATGTCTAGAAACGATTGTTCTGGTGTATTTTATTAAACTAGTACATCAACAAACATTATAATCATTTTGGGACAAAAATAATTCTAACAATTTTCCCTTTCGGATATCTACATTCAAACAGCTGCAAAGCCACGTCCGAAATCTAATTGTGAAGAACCTGAATGGCTTTGTTAAGATCTTCTTTGTGATTGATTTTTCTATATATATATATATATATATATATATATATTTTTTTTTTTCCCTTCTGTTTGTATCAAACTCTATAACAAAATCAAATTAGCTGGTGTATGTTTTGTAAATGGTGCTAATATAATGGTAAGCGTATTGGAGTGACTGTGGTTCTTTATAACGTATATAATTTATGCGGAATAAGTCAGATTCTGGTGAAACCTTTGATATAGGTGTTTAATGACAGCATATTCGATTCGACGAATAAATTTACATTATGAATGCTTAAGTATGTTGCGTGTGGATTACCAGTTTCTAACATTTGCAAATTTTTTGAAGTACTAGCTAGTTGTAATCCTAGTTCTCATAGAAGTTGGCTTCAAAATCGATCTTTAATAACGTTAACATGCATTGATTTTAACAAGTACAAGGATTTTCAGGACCGCCCCGATATATGGGCTCCTGAGAGCCTGCAGTTTTACTCAGATACGATATTTAAACGGCTAAAAGTTGCTACAGAACTCGAGCTCTGGCAGGTCTGTTCCATTCAAAACTGATTAGGAATGCATAGTACTTTTTTGTTGCCTTCTGTGTTTGTGTATTTTGTTGCAGTTTATTACCCTTGATTATTTTGTTCCCCCTGCTGGAAGTATTTCGTTCAGTGGAAGGTATACATGGACTCATGTGCATGGTTAAAAAACATCCAAAACCATCTTTAATGGTTATTTACTACTCTTAAGTTGACAGAAATATTTTGGATGTCATCTAGTCACCTAGTCATCTGTACCATGCTTATGCATGGTTGAAGCTTTTTTTCTCTTCAGGAAAGCTTCAATACAAATCTCACCAAGAAGGATTTGCAATCCATTGCATCTTCTGTAGTTTTCGCTGGTCTTTCAGTTGCTTGAGGGTGGAGAACAGGTATTTTCTATTAGCCATTCTACTTAATTGTCTGTCTCGACTTGATTTCTTTGTTTTTGTTTCAGCTGCCAAGGTCATCTCTGCTGACAGAGCTGGTAAGATTTCAAGCTTGGTTGCTATAATTTAACCTATATCCACAGCCCTACTTCTATAGACCAGAGCGACGCATAGATTTTTCAAATTATTTGTAGCTTTGGTGCTGAATGAATACTGAGTCTCATCCACAAGCTGATCATAACACTAGAGCTCTCTCAGGGAGAGAAAGCTTGTAGTGCTTTTTGTTAATAAATGTTTGTATCCGGAATTCAGTGTACCTGTAGAGGCATCCATCGTTCTATGAAAGATCTTGAAACACTCTTAGGTGAGCATAGTGTTATTGCGATTCAAAGCCTTCCAAAGTATTCAGTAGGTGCTCTTGTTTTGAAATCAGTCTGATGAAAACTCAATTTTCTTTTCACATTGACTTTGTGTTTTCTTTTTCCTTCTATTTTTTGCCTCCTGATAAATAGAGCCTGCTGCCTCAACTTGTAAGCAAGGGATAGCATATTTGTTCCTAATACGCGGTGAATTTGTATTTTAATTGAGTTGACGCATCAGGAAAACATAATTGTAGTCATGTCCATTCTCGCTTAGATAACAATTTTGTATCTCTTATCTTATGAATAGGTTTCCAAAGGTGTATAGACCTGTGCAACGCAGGAAGTGAAGGACCTCTATCACCTTGAATTTCGTCCTCTTGATTTGGCATCAAGAGTATAACCTCTGTAAGCTTTCATCTTCATCTTCTCTTCTAGAAAGAAGCTCTCCCAATAGACCCCAGCGCCGGAAAAACCGGCTGCATTGAGATTGCTGAAGCAGGTATTATTGTTTTCTTTACATCCATATTTTACTCCTCACTTCTCGAATTACATTGAAGACTTCTTTAAGCTGGAAAAAACTAATTTGAATCTGCTTTTCAACATCGCCTGGTCGAAGGGAGGAGCCTTCATGAACATGAACAGCTGGTAAGCTCTCATTTATACCAGCTTTAAGACAACCCTTAAACATTGGTAATCAAGTGTTCCATCTTCACAAGAAGTGATTTTATTGATGAATGGATGTTGAGGGCTCAATTTTTCCATGCTTGTTCATTCAGTTTATTTGCCACCCAGCTAGAGCTGATATTAGTTTGGTCTTATATCTGCCACTTTGTAGCAAGAGATATAGCTGAGTCGACAACGCCATGATGGAGACCTCAAGGAGAAGGGCTGATTGGCGCGGATGTTGGACCCCGAGGTTGGTACTTTTTTCAGGTGGAATATAAGGCATAGCTTATAGTTTCTCATTGGTTTTCTATGTTATTTTCAATGTTATTAACAGCCTCCTATTTTTTCCTTGTGGATGCTGTTCCAGGATGGAGTCATGAACCGTCGTCGGGCAGAATATGGTAGGCTCATAACTGAGAGGACAGAGCAGATTGAGCACATGTTGCAACAGAGGAGGTAGGAGAGAGAAGTAAAGAGGTAGGTGATGTCCTGTTTAAATTTGGAAGAGGGAAAAAGGCTGGGAAAAATTCCAGAAAGCGGAGGAAGGTCGAAAACGCGAAGGTACTAAGAGAAAAAAATGAATTGGAAAGGCAACAAGTTCTTCATCTTTTCCTAATGATCTTCTCTCTTATTTTCTCCCTTTGCCAGTATGACAAAATTGTTGTTTCCATCTTTGTACTGGATGCATTAACTTTCTTCATTTGAGTGTATGCAGAAGTAGAGAGGCAAAAAAGACGGAAGCAAAACATGCAATTTGACAAATCTACTGCCCAGTTCGTCTCAAAATTATTGTCTAATTTGAGTTTTCATTTTTAGTTCAAATTGTACTAAAAGCGAAATCTCAAATTAGACAATTATCTTTGGACGAATAGAGTATTTAAGATCTTAACAATTATTGAGTTACTAAAAAATAATAGTGACTTCTTGTCTAGAAGCAACGGCCAAAGTGCTGTCATTAGCTTCCGAATTATCTTGCACAAAATAGAATTTCTGGAGTATCTATTGGGCTTTTTCTCACACTAATTACAACTACTTTTGAGCTGACATGCATTCACTTCTTGCTAAGTTACAACCTCTTTCGGGCATTTTCTTAAGATGGGTACTAGTCAAGATATGGATTTGGCGAAATTGTTGGTTTTTCAGAAACTTTAGATTCTTTAAGATTGTAGAAGATGATACACATGTTTTTCTAACTGCAGAAGAGTTATCCTGCAGGCCTATATATATGATCGAATTAATTGTATTCAAACATCAACCAGTCCACAATTTTTTTACGGAAGCACCAAACAAATTCATTGAAATAAACTTTCGTCTGTTTTCCTCCAAAGTTGCGACCCGGCTTACATTATTTTGTTTACCATCAATTTCTTTATTTCTCTATTAAATAGTATGTTCCAGCTCTACTATTAATTTAGTTCTTTTTAAAACAAAGGAGATCGATTTATATTTTCTTTTCCCCAACACATAGAAATCAAGAGAACATACTACTCCAAAACCAAAGGTGACGAGTCCAGATCCATGACCGAGATTGTACCGGCCCACTCACCACAAGAAGAATCCAACTGGGACTCTTAGGACGGTATGAATCCCTAAAACCTAGTAGGATTCAGAATGGTCCGGGTAATCACATACCTATAAATAGGGTAGGTCATACAGCAATTCAGGTACGCAATCGATAAGCCAAACATACTACCTCCCAAAACTTTCTAGCAATCCCGTTTACTGACTTAAGCATCGGAGTGTCTACCTTCGGGAGACCCCGAGGCTCTATTTTGCAGGAAACTCTAACCGGAATTCCACCGTTAAACTGGCGGCGCATATCCGTGCATCGTCAAGTGGCATGGTGGGACTGTGCTTGGCCCTGTCTCCGGCACAGTTTTCTGCACTGGTTCCTTAGCAACGGGCTCCGTCTCGACGCTTGGTTGGGCAGTTTCCCTCGGGGGTGCATTTGTCTTGGCCTTTTTGGCCTTTGTCCTGTCACCCACCTTCACGATACTTTTCTTCTTCTTCTTCTGGGCGGCAGTAGTAACGGTAACATCCTCATCTGAATTCACAATGACAAAAGGATCTTCGTCACCAAACAATCGAGACCCAGCATTGCTCGACGACATGACCTAACAACAAAGGAAAAAAAAGAAGAAAACGATTAGTACCTTGATCAGAGGTTTCGAGGGAAATTCTGGTTGCTCCCTCGACGATGACCGTATCACCTTCCTTCACATATGCAGGGGGCACATAGTATTGGACATCATTCCACTTAACGACATTCGTATACTTCAGAATTTTCTCAACGTCTGCCTAGAACTCCTCGACACATTCTTCATCCTCTTGGGTTCAGTCATCTTTTATGGCCTCAAGGCCCTCTGTCTCACGGAGATTCCATGGCTGACAATAACTTGCAGGCGCCTTTACAAACACAAAATCCGGTTTCTATTTCGGAGAACCGCCATACACCTCGACCATTTTCTTCACGCCGGTTCTAAGGCGTCTTTTAATCATATACCAATCTTGAAAAGAAGTCGAGGCCACAACTACTTGGAAAAAGTACCTCCATAATATCAATCGAGGTACCACCTTTACATACTGCCACACACTTGCAAACCCCAGTACAAATGTAATTAAATTTGGGGTAAAAAGAGCGAGAGGAGTCTTATAATGTTGAACAATCTCCTCGAGGGTAAAGGGGAAATCTAAGCCCTAGATGCATAAATCGATCATATACAGTAATTCTTCCCTTTGGAGGAGAGTTGGCCCTCTCGCTTCCTAACGAAGCCCTCGCCTGCAGGGCGGAGGGGAAGTCATACTTGGATCTGAGATATTCTACCTTATCCACCGAGTCTATGGTGAAAACAAAGTTAGAACAGTTTTCCCTTCGGAATCCCTAACCATAACTCTGGAAAAATCTACTGTGGGTACAGAAGAAATGAAACGGAACGAATCGGAGATTCAGATCTAGAAACTTACTGTGTAAGGGGGACGTGACCACTTGCCCTTCGAATTGTAACTCCCCAGTGTTGCCTAGAAGCCTCAATTCGGAGCTCCCCTAGAAAACAGCGTCGCCGGGGCAGTATATCAGGTCAAATTGTGAAAATTCCGGCTGGGAAAGAATTTCGGATACTCTGGAAAGGAAGCGGAATGGGAACTGAAATGCTTTTTGCAAAGAAAAAGATTTTTGTGCTTTTTACGGAGAAAAGAAATGGTTAAGTGTCCGGGAGAAGTAGGAGTTTTTCTCTTTTAAACGTAAAGTTGATTCTCCCACGTCTCCTTAATTATGGGCCACGATCTGACAGTTATTGCGGGTCTCAAGGAAGTAATGATGTTGAGGCTGCTGTTTGGGGAACGTGCCCGCTAATAACGCATAATTGAAAATTTGAGCGGGATTGGGGAAGCGGGTTGCCTTCCTGGACCACGGCCCGACCCGCCGGTTCCTCTCGATCCTCCAAGGTCGAGGGTGGCGCGTCAGCACTGAGCTTGTTAGGCGTATGCCTCGGCAATTAGCTGAACGAGGGCGATCCATCCACCCTTGGGCATGTCTCAGGTAATGCTCATTTTGTGCCAAGCGTTGTTTTGTTTTACGTCACTAACACTTGGCAGGGGCACTTGACGAGTCCAGATCCATGACCGAGATTGTACTGGCCCACTCACCACAAGAAGAATCGAACTGGGACTCTTAGGACGGTATGAATCCCTAAAACCTAGTAGGATTCGGAATGGTCCGGGTAATCACATACCTATAAATAGGGTAGCTCATACAGCAATTCAGGTACGCAATCGATAAGCCAAACATACTACCTCCAAAAACTTTCTAGCAATCCTGTTTACTGACTTAAGCATCGGAGTGTCTACCCTCGGGAGACCCCAAGGCTCTGTTTTGCAGGAAACCCTAATCGGAATTTCACCGTTAAACCGGCGGCGCATATCCGTGCATCGTCAAAAGGGCAACGAAATAATAATACTCAATA